GTTTTTCGTTACGTTAAGAGTTAGGTTTAGGGTTAGGTTAAGGGTTAGGTTTAGGGTTAGGTTTAGGGTTAGGTTTGGGGGGGGTTATGGTAAGGTTTTCGCTTTATTTTTACATTTTTCGATCTTTTTCGTTGCGCTGTGATGACGTCACATACGCGCTTTCGTCGACCGCGATTTTGTCGTCTGCGGTTTTGTGGTAGAACCGGGTGAAGTGCATTATCTGCCATATATTTTTGGTAAATATTAAGCCAAGGGATCATAATCCAATAATAATATTTTAAATTTATTACAGCCACCTCCCAATGGGCAGCTTACAAATACAATACTGTACAGTTAATCAGTTTCAGTGTTTTTCAAACTTGGCAACTTCAAGATGTATAGACTCTGAGAATTCTGGGAGTTGAAGTTCATATATCTTAAAGTTGAAAAACATTGGAATATACAACTTCACGGGCAGCCCAGACAAAAATAATTAAACACCACCAAACCAAACCAAACCAAATCAAGGGCCCTGCATACATATCACTTCAGGCCTGAAACCTCAGGTCTTCAACACTTTTTGGAAATCTAAGAGTGCTTTCTGTCGGGTGGTGTATCCTAAGACAATGTTTCTCAATCTCAGCAACATTAAGATGTATGGATTTCAACTTCCCAGAATACCGACTCTGCTGGGGTGGGTTCCAGTAGGCACTACTGATGGTTCGCCCATGGCTGCGCCTTGCGAGCACTTGATGCGCACTGCGCATGCACGCACAATTCAATAAAAATTGTTCTGTGCATACACAGAAGCCTAAAACAAGTTGGAGAGCCAGTTCGGGGACATGGCAGGCCTGGTTCGCAGCCACCAAGTCACTATTGGTTCAACTGAACTAGTTCGAAACCAACACCGCGATGCTGACTGGGGAATTCTGGGAATTGAAGTCCACACATCTTAACAGATTGAGAAACACTGTCTTAGAGTATCAAGTCATACTAAACCATAAAAATACACACCAGAGTTTTTAAGAAGATTGCTTATAGAAATGAAAAAGTGAAATCTTTTTTCCACTAATCTTTCCTTCCTTAAAGAGAAAATGGGTTTTAAATCTGTCTCTTTCACAAGGTTTGTCAAATCTGCAGAAATTAGCCTTATTTTAATTGCTCCATTCCATTTTCTGAACGTCACCGTGCAGAACCTGTCAGGTTCCTGGAAATGGACTGGCTGAGACATGTTGATCTGATCTGGGAGTAGTATGCGATTCCTAGCAGAAAGTGATGAGAAGTGATATATTAAGAGCAGTGACTCATTCAGAGACAAATGAACAAACTCCTGTAGCATATGGGCAGTTTTAGCCAACGGGAAGGCTATAATTATTTAATTGATTTACTTCACGGCATAGCACAATTACCGGTTCAGATCCTTGCTACTGATGATTAAGGGACCCAAGGAGATGGTACTTATTTTGATTCATAATACAATCCATTTTATGTCTTCCCAGAAGTAATTCTCATTTAATTCAGTGGAACTTTCTTCTAGGAAAATTCATATAGGATTGTACTTTTAATTAAAAGCAGGGCTAGCTACCTCTTTGTCATAGAAATCTTATCCCTCACATTTGCAACCTTATTTATTTATGCTCTTTTCCCCACCTCAGTCCAGAAAGAGGCTAAGCAATTTACAGATAATGAAAAACATAATAAAACAACAGGCGGAAACACTAATAAATTATGGTAATAATAACCATGGTTTATAATCCCATTAATGTATTAGCTCATACAGACCACCAGTAGCGCCATAACTCAATCCCCAAAGCCTCCAAAAGAATTGGGTTTTTTTAGCTTCTGGAAGGCCATGAAAAATTAGATTATTCTCCCAGGAGGCAACCTCCTTTATAGGGTTACTCCTACACATAAGCTCCCCTCCCACTGTACCTCCTGATAGGTGGGAATGTTTATGCTGCTGTTCCTTCATTAAAAAAAACACTCTATGCTTTAAATCAGTGCTTTCCGAACTTTAGCTGTGTGGACTTAAATTCCTAGATTTCCCCAGCCACAGAATAGCTTTCTCGGGGAAGAGGATATATTTTGGGCACTGAAGCCATATCATAGATACTGAATCCAGGAATTCACTGGGTAACCCATTGCTGGCTGGAGATTCTGGGAGCTGAAGTCCACACATCTGAAAGTTGCCAGGTTTGGAAAACACTGTCTTAAATCATAAAAAGGCAGCCTTTTCAGAACAAATTGGAAATTCCTGGATTCGCTCTCTGTGATGTTCATGGAGATTCTCAGCAATCCAGGTCAAGGTTGTCCCAAAGATTCTTTTTTAAGAGGCAAGTGGATTTTCTAGTTTTTCTTTGAAGATGTTTCGCTTCTCATCCAAGAAGCTTCTTTAACACTGACTGGAAGGTGGGGAATAGAAGGATTTATATTCCTTGCAGACAGCTGGTCATTTTTTTAGAGAGCCTTAGAGGTCACTTAGAGGTTTGTCTGCTTCCTCAGGGTCACCTGAGTGATGCGAATGGGTGTGGAGCTTTCTTGGAACTGCTGTTGCGCAACTGTGCTTTCTGCAGGATGTTTTCTGCCCTGTGTCAGGCACAGGCTCTCGGGGATGAATTGATTTTGTCTGCATCTCAAACTGAAGAACAAATGGTTTCTGTAGCCTGCAGTTTTTTTCAGAAATCCTTTCATACTCCTGCACTATTCAAAGGGTGTTCATCCCAAAGTGCACAGCTAGATGCAGACAACACAGATTCATCTTCAGCGGCCTGTGTCTGTATTCAATAGTTGAAGAGACACAGGGCAGAAAACATCCTGCAGAAAGCACAGCTCCACAACACAGTCCTTTCTGTCCATTTTTTTCTTCAAAGAAAAACAAAAAAGTCCAGTTGCCTCTTGACAACATTCTCTATGATGTGGCCAGCATGTCCCCTGAGAAAGCCAGTGGGAGGCAGTGCACAACAGCAGCTCAGCTGCTGGGGAGGGGGCTCCCCCTGAGCAAATGGGCTGAGTTAAATCTGCAAGTCAGAGGTTCTCCAATCCTGCTTTAATGTTTGCAGACATTTAACAGCTAAATCTTAAAGTGAGGTGATGGACAAAACTTGTTGACTTGTTGAATGTTGACAGTGTCATCCAGCTTCTGAAGAAGTCTATCAGGAGAGAGATCAAGATAACTTATACATGGAACAATGTTTCTTTCTTTAAAATTTATGAAGCTGCAGGAAAATGTAGAATTAGGGTACATGGCCAGAATTCATACCTGTTCAGGACGGAGCAGGCAAGGGGACCTGTTACATGCAGGAGAAGAAGCTGGGAGAACCTGCTTTGTGAGTTCAAGACATATAGCCCATAAGAATTTTGTTCTTGCAGCCTTGCTAAGAATCCAAGACCCTGTCATCTAAAATTCTTCCCAACATGTTTTAATATCTTGTTATTTCTAAACACGAGTTCCACCTCCTCTGACAGCTTAGATGTTGTCCCTGTAAAGGACATACCATTTAAAAATGCACTTGCAAGGTACTATGTGAGATTCTTTGTGTGTGATTTTTAAATGCTTGCAACCATATTCTTCTAGCCCTTTTTATCTGCTTTCCTTGGTGGAATTGTTCCTGTCATAACCTTTTTGGCTTGCTTATTCCTTCTGTGCATTTCTAAATATAAATCCCAAGTGCTGAAATTTAAGATGGGAGAAGCAAATAAGTACTGTATATTGATAAGTCCATAGAGGCAGAGATAGAAAGATGGATTTCTCCTTGTGTGTTGACATAGGTTTTGCCATTTTTTTCATTCACCAGTCTGTCTCTCTAGGTATTGATTGATCTCACTGGCAAAATATTTCTAGTTACCAGAGATGGTGACAGTGAGATGAATTTGATTAGCTGATTTCTTATGTAGCTCAGAATGCTGGGATCTTTGCTATAGGTGATGTCAGGCGTGAAGGATCAGGATCTTGCATTAAGTTCCAGTTAAACTGATTTATTGCTCACATTTATACACAACAATCTATTCAGCTGACCGTCAGCACTAAATTAGTGCTAGATACGTTAACGGAATCCAAGAGGGCTGGAGTTGGATCGCTTGTGGGAACTTAACGACTCTAGGCTGATTCCTCTCTTGACTCCACTCCGAGGCTTTGTCTCTCCTGCTCCTGCTCCAGAAAAAGCTATTTAGATCAGGTCAAAGATCTATGAATCTAGCATTCTATCCTCACAATAATCAGTGATGTCTGGAAAATTCACAAGAAGGATATGTGGTCCACGGCTCATCTTCCTCCTGATGACCTTCAGCTCCAGTCTCTTAAGAACCATGCCCTGTTAGATGAAATATTTAGCCTTGGAGATGACAAGCCATTGCTGAGACCTATCTTCTCACCCTGGTTGCTATATAGCTCTAAGCATGCCCCATTGACCACAGTAGGATGCCTAACTAAGCATTCATAGCTGCAACATTAATCACAAAGTAATAAACTGGTTGGTTTGGTCCTTTTGATTAATTGTGTGTATAGAACCATAGGCAGGTTTTATTACAGATGACTAAGCATTGTCTTAAATGGATAAAAGGTATATAAATCTTGATATTTTTTCCCCCTCAGAGATTTTGGCATTTCTGAAGTCCATCTAGCAATCTCCCCAACTGGTGCTCTTTAGTGGTGTTAAGCAGGGGGTTGGACTAGAAGACCTCAAAGGTCTCTTCCATCTCTGACATTCTATGTTCTATGAATTTTCTGATGATATAAGAAATGGCTGTTGTTGGGAATGCAAGGAGCTAATGTCTGATACTTCTGGAGGATAAGATTGGAGAAAGATGCCATACGTTTTCCAGGCATTCTAACTCCCTGAGCATTAATATATTCTCCAGAGTCTAGCAAAATCTTTTATTTATCTTACTTCTTCTTTACAGCATACATACATATGTATTTGTTAAAGCCACATTTAAGACATTTGCTAGCTCAGAGCTCTTTAAGCAGACATCCTACGCTTTGTGTAAACTAACCAGTTCTTTTTTCTTTTTCTTTCCTGCAGGGGGATTGGAAAGCAGGGACTTCAGTGCTTAGGTAAGAACTTTCTTTTGACAATGCTCTTGGCGTGGTGCTCTTTTTCCCATTAGAGTGCCACATGGCGTGAAAGCACAATCAGGCCTATGGAGCAGAGCAGCAGGGTTATTGGAGGGGAAGGAGAGGATGTGGGCGCTGCAGCCACACGCCTTTCTCCTTCAGTCCCAAAAACATAGGGCCGTTGTTAACAAGGAGGAGCGTGTTCTGCACATGCTCAGAGGCTCTCCTGGTCAGCTTCGTAGGCTAACAGCTTGCTCTTGATTAAAAAAGGGTTTGTAAGCAGTAATTGTAATTTTTCAAAATGACAGCCTTGTGTCAGGTGTTTGCATCTTAATAGATATGAATTATTGTGGGGTGAGGGGGAGGTTTAATAGGTTATCTCTCACAACCTGTGAGAAGGATAAGAGGCAATGGTTTGGTTAATTCTTGGTTTTGGGACTTAGCCATATGCTGGCTGGGGAATTCTGGGAGTTGAAGTCAAGACACCTTAAAGTTGCCAAAGTTGAGAAATGTTGGTATATACCAACATTTCAAGATCTTATCAAGTTAAGATCTTATTCAGAGATAGCTGGGACTGAGGAGTGCTAGTTGCTGATGGCAAGGAAGAGCAAAGGGTGTGGGGGCAGGGCCAGGCTGCCTCTAATTTCCCCAATTCCCATTTTAATCAAGCAATTTTTGCACACACAGAAGAGTCCCTGATCCAGTTTTATTGTTTCTCTGAACTACATTCCTTTGGGCTATTTTAGGACTGTGAAATGTCTCTTTCATTCTTGTATATTTTATATACACTTCTATATCCCACACTACCCTCATGCCTGACTTTTCTTTCGAAATCTACCTTCGTTTTTTCACCCGTGCTGCTGGCTTGTGGTCCCTTGGTATTCATGTACATGTGGTCATGTATTCCTGTTTACATTTTGTTATTTATTTATTTGTATTTCGTATTTCTAAACCACCCATATCCCTGACAGATATTTGTTCATTTACTGTTCATTTTTAAAAAAATCATCAATGGAGATTCTCAGTCATCCAAAGGTGCTTTTTCAGGTTACTCCAAATGTGCTTTTTCAAGAGGCAGCTAGACTTCCTTGTTTTTCTTTGAAGAAGTTTTGTTTCTCATCCAAGAAGCTTCTTCAGCTCTGATTGGAAGGTGGGGAATAGAAGGATTTATATTCCTTGCAGACAACGGGTTATTTGCATTCTTTTAGAGAGTAGTTGAGACCACTTGGAGGTTTATGTGTGTCCTTAGAGTCACATGAGTAGTGCAAATGGGTGTGGATTTTTGGAACTGTTGAAATGACCGTGTTGTAGATGTAGATAGATGATGTCATATCCCTCCCTCTGTGTTGAGAGAGGGCTGTTCAATTTTGACATAGATGGCCTCTTTGACCCCTCTTTCATACCAGCGGTCCTCCCTTTCCAAAACGTGGAGTTTGTTGTTTTCGAAAGAGTGGCCTTTGTCTTTTAAATGCAGACGGACTGCTGAATCTTCATGGGTTTGTTCTCCTGTGTTGTGCTATGTATTTATGAAGTAGTTGTTTTGTTTCCCCAACGTACAGATCTGTACACGGCTCACTGCTTTCTACTGCATACATCATTTTGCTCAGTTTGCCTCTGTGTTTGTGTCCACCCCAAGGATACTTTTTTATTTTAGATTTAATTTGTTTTTTCCCCCCATTTATTTCATTCACTCTTCATTCATTTACAAGGGCTGTTTTATCCCACCAAGACTAGCAATTGATATACCCTGCCCAATGCATGCTGTTTGGAGATAATGGGAATGTATCTGGAGAATTTAGGGAAGTTTGATATTTTGCATATATCAATTGCTGCCACTTCAGCAATCTGCTTTTAACATATTTCATGCAGTCTCTTTTCACCCCAAAAGGCCATTGATAGTAGAATAAATTGTCCAACTGTGATAACACACTTTTTCATGCCCTATTTTCACACTATGTACCAGGTAACCATCCAGATGCAGTGTGGATAAATATATCAATATGTGGATTGGCCTTGTGTAATGTGTCACTAGCTACTTTCCCTTGGCCAATACGTGTGATCACTTCTCCTACTGAACTTCGGTGTGGTGCCAACACACTATTTTCTATTTGGCGCCTTTCTGTTTTCCTGTTCTTGGTTGCCACTGGCTCTTTGCTTCTTCAAAAATAAATCTCAATAGTTAGAGGAGTCAAAGACTCTGCATAGTCTCTATCACAGAATAAAACTGGAAGGGGATGCAGCGCTATAACTAATTAGATGCAGTGGTGGGTTCCTACCAGTTTGGACCTGTTTGGCTGAACCAGTAGTGGTTTGGGAGCCTGGGTCACTGGAACTGGCAGCGACCCAGGCCTGCCATGCCCCCAAACCGGTTTTCCATAGGTGCTGCCATCTTGTTTTTTGCTTTGGTGCATGTGCAGAACATTTTTTATTGAACTGTGCATGCACGTAGAGCACCCATCAAGCGTGGGTGCGGGCGCACCCACAAGCAAACGAGCAGTAGTGATTGATGGAACCCACCCCTGGTTAGATGGTTTAGTTTAGGCATAGATATTTGGGTACATGCTGGAACATTTGAAATTGGAAAAGTCAGACTCATTTGACTAGTGCTAGAGTAGAAGACTAAGAATAATGATAGAAATAAAATTTGATTGGCAGCAAAAGATCCTGGAATAGGGTTGATAACTTTAATAGCTATCCCAAGACAAGCCCTATATGAATGAAGGTGCCTATCAAACAAATAATGGTTAGTTTCACAGATTGAATTGAGTTGAGCTGTAATGTAGTTATTTGGTTTGGGACTAATGCAATGTGAAAAGCTGCTATTGTAGTTTCTAACCCTTGATTTATATGTTAGTGTTATATGTGAATCAAATTACAATAGCCTATTCAACATTGTGGTTGAACTTGGGTTTAGCACAATGTGTGAATCCAGCAGTGAAACACTTTGATTATATTGTTCCTAGCAGGGTAGCTATTTTCAGAATTAGGAAATTGCGGGTGGTAAATTTCAGGTAAACATTACATAACCATTATTTCTTGTTCATAAAGCTGGTAAGAACTGTGAGACAATGGGACATTATCAGGTGAGCAGCTTCCCTTCACTGAAGATGTTTAAGGAAAAGCTAAATGGTGCTGTAGGCACAAGTTATCCTTGATTTACAACAGTTCATTTAGTGACCATTTGAAGTTACATTGGCACTAAAAAATCTGATTTATATCTGTTTTTCACTGTTGCAGCATTTCCACAGTCATGTGATCAAAATGCAGATGTGTGGCAATTGAACTCATATTTGTGACGGTTGCAGTGTCCCAGGGTTACGTGATCTCTTTTTGCGACCTTTTGACAAGCAAGGTTAATGGGGAAGTCAGGTCCATTTAACAACCATGATACTAATTTAACAATTACAGTGATTCACTTAACAACTGTGGCTGAAAAGGGTCCTAATTTTAGATTAATGCAGGGGTGAAAATCAACTCGCCTTCACTACCAGTTTGCAAATGTGAGTGCATGTACCACCTTCCACGCATGTGCAGGATCTTCCTTGCATACGCAGAGCGTCAAAACTGGGATGTGAGGATGTCGGGGTGGGTAGGCAAAGCCTCCCACTGCTGCTACCGGTTCTCCTGAACCAGATAGAACCAGCTGAATTTCACCACTAGATTAATGTAGTTTCTACCAATATGCTTTTTTTTTTGTTTTACAATCATTTACATGCATTTTTTTTCCAAATTCCTGGTGGAGGACCAGAGGAAGAGAGTCCCCTTCATTATTATCTTTTCAGAGATTTTCCTGCTGAGCTGTTTTTTCATCCCACACTGGAGGTTGGGATAGAAACCTATGTATTTTCTTCCATTGCAGACAGGGTGAAGCTGTTTAAGAAGCATTTCCCCGCACCAGTTTCCCATGAAAAATTATAGCTTCCCATCTGCATTTCATAAAAGAAAGGCGGGGGAATGATTCATGGGTTGGGAATTGTATGCACCTCAGAGACACGCAACTAAGGTTTCTTTGTACATAAGGCAGAAATCCACTGAAATTGGTTTTATTATATATTTTGACTGGGAAGGGTGAGATCATTAAAGAAATGTTCCTTCTTTGTGCACAAATGTTGCCCTTGACTCATGAGATACTGTATGTTCTGCTCTCTGCATCACTAACTTCGACACTTTTCTATGTCTATTGTATACAAAGGAGCTCTATGTTTTGTACATTCAGCATCTTGCGTGCAAACAGGTGCAAAAAATCCTCACAAATATTTTTGTATGCCACCTGTCTCACTATATTCCTGCAGGCTTCTTTTCTCAAGCATGGCACCTCCTGCCCATTTCCTTCTTTGCCCATTGCACTCATGGTGAACAGTTTCACTGAGAGATTTTCTTGTATAGTTCCACCTGAGGATTTAAAAAAATGTCCCACCCTTCAAAATTGTATTAGTGGAGATATGGATGGTCATCTGGCTCTTATTATGTTCCTCAGGTTTGGGTTCACTCTCTCTCAACAGGCACTGGTGTGTGTGTGTGTGTGTGTGAGAGAGAGAGAGAGAGAGAGAGAGAGAGAGGGAGAGAGAGAGAAAGAGAGGGAGAGGGAGAGAGAGAGAGAAGGGGGGGGAGAGAGAAGGGGAGAGAGAACCATCTCCCATTGTCCCCTCCCCTGAACTGGGATGACGTTCTAGAAATCACTTCCTAGATTTGATGGTTGCTAAGAAACAACCCTGTCAGGGAGATCGCTAAGCGACACCCTCTCCTCACTTGCCAATTATATCACACCTGCCAATCAACTGTGGTCCCGCGTCTCATTCCGAATGTGCCTGGCTCAACTCTGCCATCAGTATCTGAGCATCCAAATGCTTCCCCCCCCCCATTTTGTCTTCCCACAGGAAGATCCACAGTTGCCTCCCTGAGGATCTCCCCCTCCCAGCTCTTCTAAACCCCCCCACCCCCCCCCCCCCCCCCCCCTCCCCCCCCCCCCCCCCCCCCTCCCCCCCCACCCCCC